ATCCACGCTTGTCCTGGACCCCAAAACACTTACAATGGGCTTTAGACGAAGAGAAACTCTCTTTTTCCCTGGTCACCCTTTGTAAAGTGTCTTAGGGGGCATTGAACCAACATTGGGAGAAAATATTTTAGCAAAGCAAATCAGAAAGCACGCTTAGCCATTGATAACAGACATTCAGAATCCCACTGCCATCGAGTCGGTTCCGACTCATAGTGGTCCCATAGGACAGAGAGAACTACTCCCGAGGGTTTCTGAGACTGGACTCGGTGTCGGAGCAGACTGCCTCATCTGTCTCTCTCAGAGCGGCTGGTGGGTTTGAACTGATGAACTTGTGGCAGCCCAATGCTTCACCCACTGCACCACCAGGATGCCTTGATGACTTTGCATCGTTGTTGTCATTGTTAAGTGATCGGTTTTCTTGATACTTAGAACAGGAACAAGAACTTGAAGCATTGCCTACAGGGGACTTAGCTGAAATGTAGTATTATCAGGCGGTGATGATACCAGGATAAAGCTGATGTGCTTCAGGTGTTATCTTCACAGCCATAGGAAGGTCTCTTTATCATTCGAGAATAACCAGGAATATGGTAGCCTAGTGGTTACGAATCGGGCTGTGAACCTTAAGGTCAGCGGTTCGAAACTACCAGCCGCTCCGCGGGAGAAAGATGAGGCTTTCTACTCCCGTAAAGATTTACACCCTCGGAAACCCTGTACAGGGTCGCTATGGGTCGGAACCGACTCGACGGCACTTAACAACAACAACAACATCCTTAAGACAGGCGAAGTGGACTGGCCTCTTGTTTCGTACGACTCAGTCAGGTGTTGTATCAGTTGTAACAACAATGTTGTGTAACAAGCCACTCTATAACCAGCTGGCTTAAATCAGTAATCATTTAGTCTAGTGACATTGGCAGGTTGGCTGGGGCAGCTTTGCTGATCTTACCTGGGCTTGTTTGTGTGTAGTAAGTCAGCGGGTCTAAACTTGGCTCTGTTGGGGCAGTTCTTTCCATATTTTCCTGGAACCACCTGGCCAAGTATGGCCTCAAATTGGTGGCAGAGTCACAAGAAATGGAGTTGAACTACAAGAATACATTTCAAGGCTCTGCTTACATCACACCTGCTAGCATCCCATTGACCAAAGCAAGTCTCATGAACAAGCCCTTGTCAGCTGATCTCCCCCCACCAGTCATCTTAGCCTTGACTTTCTTCTCTGATTCTGCTGCTTATTGGCTCCTTGGCTGCCCTCATTTACTCCGTCTTTCTATTCAGCTTGTCTCCTCTGCTGGGAATATTCAAAACCCACTGAGGCCTGGTAGGATAAGCACTGGACTGCAAGGTCAGTTTGAACCGCAGGGTCAGCAGTTTCATCTCACCAGCTGCTCCTCAGAACCCTATACAGGGTCACAATGAATCCGAACCGACACTACAGCACTTAACACTTGTGGCTTATTTGCTTACTTCATTCATTACTCTACTTAAAATGGAGGGAACTACCCTTAACACCCTTTCAAAAATAAGTCCTACTGTGGCACTGTAGGATAAGCACTGGACTGTGAACAGGGTTGGTAATTCAAACCACCTGCTGCTAGGGGTTAAAACCAACTTGACGGCACTTAACAACAATAAAATGGCCATCTTCTCTCCCCTTGGCCCAATGTATGTGTTTATAGCATTTATTACTTCTGACCTGTTATTTTCGGTCTTCCTCTATGTAAGCTGAGGTCAATGGGAGCAAAGACTTTGTCTTACCTCCTGCTATGTCTACAGTGATCATAGGAATGCCTGTCACATAACAGGAACCCAGTAGCTGGGAAGGAGTCTTTGGAAAGTATGAATGCTTAACATGGTCAGCTACTGACAGAAAGGTTGAAGGTTCAGGTTCACCCAGAGGCACCTCAGAAGAAAGGTCTGGTGATCATCAACTCCCAAAAAAGTCAGCAGTTGAAAACCCGATGGAGCGCAGTTCTACTCTGACACCCATGGGGTCACCATGTGTCAGAGTTGACTTGATAGCAACTGATAATTGGTAACTGGTAAGTGCTGGGATGAATTAGGGCTGAAGGCTTTTTCATTGTGAGCTTGAATGCTTCCAGTAATGAGGCACTCTCTCTTCTGAGTGCCCGTCTTTCACTTTTAGCTAGGAGATAATGCACTGGATAGCAAGGTTGGTTTGAACTGCAAGGTTCGCGGTTCAAATTCACCAGCAGCTCCTCAGAAACCGTATGCAGGACCGCTATAAGTTGGAACCAGCTTGAAAACACTTAACAATAACAGCAACAAGACAGATTATGGAATTTTTTCCACATTTTTTTTTAATTCTCTCACATTTATATTGTACTAAATTTTTTTCCTCATAGTTTCTAAAACTCTTTGATTCTAGTTCTGCCTTTAAAAGCTCTGCAGCGGAGAGAAAAAGGAGATTCCTTTTCATTTGTGTTGTCTGTTTATTTGTATTATACCTTTATTATATTAGCCTTGTAAAAGGATAAAAAGTAAAAATCAGAATATACTTAATTCTACCACTCATAACTGCTGCTAGCACTTTGTGTATTTCCTAGGGTTGGTTTGTGTAACCCTTACTAACAGAGAAGTTTTTTATACTGCTCATGCTATAATTTTATGTTTTGCTCTTTTCTTCAAAATATTGTATCTAAAACACTTTCTTGTATCATTAAATTCCCATGATACTTTAGGGAGAACATAATACTTAATTTTTTTGAAATCTCCTGATGTGTTTAACTGGTTTTCCCTCATTGAATATTTGAATTGTTGAGCTTTTAGATCTTTCGTACTTCTTAGTACTCATATGAATAATGCTTGCAGATAAATATTTGATGACATGGATGATTTCATTGTTGTTGTCAAGTGCCACTGAGTTGGTTCCAACTCATAGCACCCCTGTATAGTGTTTCTGAGGTAATGAGTCTCTACAGGAGCAGAAAGCCTCATCTTTCTCCAATGGAGCGGCTGGTAAATTCCAACTGCTAGCCACGTGGTGAACAGCCCAACTCGTAACTCATTACACCACCAGAGATCCATGAGTGACTGGTGAAGGTGGTTTTGTGCCGTGGAGTCGGAACCAACCTATAGCAACTCTGTACAGGATTTCCGAAGCTGTAAATCTTTACGGCAGCAGAAAGCCTCATCTTTCTCCTGCAGAACAGCTGGTAGCTTTGAACTGCTGACCTTGAGGTTTACAGTCTGATTCATAACCACTACGTTACCAGAGCTCCTTCCGTGAGTGACTACTATCTCAAAATAAACTAACATGAGGTAGATTTCTGGGTCAGAGAGGATGGGCTTTAATGTTTCAGATTCTTAACATATTGTCAAATTTCTGTCTAGAAAGATTATGCTGTTAAAATTCCCTTATACATTTTTAACTATCCCAGATCACCATATCCTGACCAGCAGTGAGCATTTTCTTTTCAAAACTTGCCAATTTGATAGGCAAAAAAAGTATTTTTTTCATATGTTGACTGGCTATCTTGAAGGTGCATGTGTATGTTTGTCTGTGTGTGAGAGAAAGGGCATTAATTGCTAGTTAATTCCTATTCTATGCCCATTTCTAATCGTGTTTAGTAATTTTAATTACTGATTTATAAAAGCTCTTTATATATAAAAAATGTTCAGCTTAATCTTTTTTTATTGTTGAAAGCATTGCTCTCATTTTATTGATTGCCTTTTCACTTTGTTTGGGGTCTGTTAACAGACAGAAGCTAAAGACTGTTCTATATTCACATATGTCAGTTTTCCCTTTGTGGCTTCTGGGAAATCCTGGCCATCCTAGGAGCTCCAGTGTGTTTCATAGAAGTTTCTAACTTTGTCTTCCCACCCTGCGAAAAGCAGGTTATATTATGTCAATTATGCTTTTAAAACAAAAATAGTATATTCTTTAAACATGCTTTGTATGATTGAGCTGTGATTCATGGAACCAAATCCAAATGCTTTCCACAGCCCCATTTCACAGACAAGCAATCAAGCCACTGAAAACGGTCACGATGTCCCTTTTGAGACAGAGCATGGGCTCAAATCAACTTCTCTAAATCCAGTCCTCTTTCCAACTGCCTCTTATTTAAATGGATCTAGGGCATTAAATGGAGTCCTGATGTGGTGCTGTGGGTTAGTACAATATGCCAGATTGCAGATTGAACTGCAAGATCGATGCTTCAAGCTCACCAGCCACCCCTTAGAAACTCTATAAAAGGTCACTATGGGTTGGAACCGACTTGATGGCACTGAACAACAACAACAACAGGGCATTAAGTAGTCACAACAAAAGAAAGGCAGGGACCCTGTTCTATCTATCTATATTTTTCACATTCACTGTCTAGATGGTTCTTGAATCATGCTTTGTGTTTAACATACATTTGTTAAATTGTTCAGAACTTGGAACCTGTGACTTTGACTAGAGGAAGCATTTTCAGTGGTAAATCGTTTGATAAAATTTCCCCTCCCTAAATGCCACCTCTTGACAAGCGTTGCCTGCAGTGTTGTCTATACAGCGGCCCACACCCTCCAGACTCCCAAGCATCAAGGCATCTAGCATGCATCTGACAAGCTCAAATCTAATGTTATATCTATCCCCTCTCAAAAAAAAAAAATAAATAAGTCTCACCTAAATATAGTTTTCTTCTAAAAACTGTCTCTAAATGACTCTGCTTTACCCTGAATAAGATCTCCCCAGTGCATGCTGACGTTGGAGCATGAAAAGGAAGGTAAACGCGTGAAATCAAATGGTGATTGCTAACAATGAAATTTGGGCTCATAAAATCAAGGATATTATTCAAAACTGCGAGGTAAATTAGTCTCATTCATTCTGATGGGGCTAGACTCCATGGCTGTGTGTGCCTTCTTTAATTAACATGCTGAAAAGATGTTCTGATTGGGATTATTAATGAATGCAGTGAAAATTTCTGCTGCTTGTAAGGGCTTCTGCCACAGACGGTTTACAGAGCCCCCCTCATCCCCCGTCCTTTTTTTTTTTTTTTTCTCCACAGATTCCTTACATGGTTTGACAGATGGAGTATTCATCTTTGAAGCTGTTTCCACAGAAGATAGCAAAACCATACAGGGCTATGATGCTATTGTTGTCGAACAATGGACAGTTCTGGAAGTAAGTATGGAGTTGGCAGTGGCCCTGCTTTTGTCTGGGCAATGATTGTTTTATCGGCTTGCTAAATCTGACTAGGGGGCTGTTGCTCAGCTGGGGCTTTCTTGTGAAAGGGAGTTTGACCTGGGTCCGTCACACACATACACACATACATACATACATACATACACACCACTTTAGTTCTCCATGCCTCTTCTTCCCCAGCCTCAGGTAGGAGGTTAGGCCCCGCTTTTCTGTTTCCATAGTAAAAGCATGTTGCGTGTGTGCCTTTGTGTTTGCATCATACCGTGGAGTGGGAAGGCTTTCCATTTGTATTCCTTTGCTGATAAAGTAAACGCTACGTGATATAAACGAGGCAAACATATCATTCCTGGCCTCCGTAATAGTAAGAGCAGCATCACTATTGGCACCAGACCCTGTGGCTCCCTCTGCATGCTTAAAAGAAATTTCTCCACATGAGCTCATCTAATTTCTACAATAAACCTTTGAAGTAAGAAGTCCTGTGCTTACCCTGTTGGATCGATGAGGAAACTGAGGCACAGAGCGGTTAAGTCCCCAGCCTGAGGTTACTCAGTAAGTACTAAAGGATGCATTTGAGAAATGTTGACCCATGAGGCCATCAGCTTGTGATTAATGAAGGAATTCCTCAAACCATGATCCACTGATTTATGTATTTCTGATTCACTGGAGTGTGTGAGTTGAAAGGCACTTTGCTAACTGTGTATTTTAGGACACACCACTTCTGGGGTGTAGAAGGAGAAGCTGTTTGGACATGGAGGACTGATTTCTGATTGCTTTTGCATGGGCCTGGGGAGAGCACAGGGTTGGCATCACTTTGAAGGGGCCTCTGCCAATAATATTTTAGGTGCCAAAGGAAAACAGATGTTGATGCAGCCTTTATGAAGAGGGTGGGGTGTTGGGACCCACCAGACAGCCGGTGCTCACCACACCCTGTGGTCTTCACAACGGCAGCCCAAATGCTCCTGGTGAGGGGGGCTGTCAGTGCCCAGGGCACTGTTACCCAGCTTTTCAAGGTGCAGCAGTTCCTAGCTCCAAGAGTGAGGAGGAGGGCTGTTGGGGCCTGCCTGCTTCTGAGAAGTGATGGAAGTAACTACTTATAAGTGTGACAGCAATGGAGAACTCAGAAAACTGCCGTTATCTCCAACAGGAATTCAGAAAACACAGCATGCAGGGAAGTTCATGCAGGGACCAGGAGCCCTGCAGGCATATGTAGTAAGAAAAGTAAAGAATCAGATGCTCAGAGTTGGAGATCCGCTCCACCAGTTACTCCTAGGTGACCTTGGTGCCAGTGGTCCTCCTAAGCCTTTATGCCTCTCACTGGAAATAAGGGTGCAAAGAAAGGCATGAGGCTCGGTCTAAAATGCAGAGTCCAACATGACTCATAGTGACCCTGGGGGTCTTCAATTTTCTGAAATGTAAGCAGCACCCTTCACACAAGATGGAGTGGGATCCCAGGGGCTGGGTGTGAACTGAAAGGGCCTTATTAACACAGGCCATATGTGACGCTGAGCAGCCTACATGCTCCAGTATTCAGTCTGCTCTGTAATAAAAACAGGTGATGTACGGCTGCACCCAAAAACATAAGCAGGTACAGAAGTGATGGTCAGGCCAAGTGGACCGTGTAAAATCCTTTACTGTCTGCACCTTAAAGTGGCTGTTGAGGGAAAGCATGGAGTTTTCCTCAAGAAAAATGACTTGATGGTAGCTATCCAGTATTCTAACAAGTGATTTTCAAAGTCTCATAATGGGAAACTTGTTAGAAATGCTGATTCTCAGGCCTCACCCCAGACCTCTCAAGGGTGGAGCCCAGGAATGTGTGTTTTAACAATCCCTCTGGCCATTTCTGATGCACACTGAATTTCAAGAGTCTGCACGTCAACTGTATAGGTGTCCTTTCGCCAGAGTCTGAGATTGTGACAAAATAAACAGAAAGCCCGAACCTGTTGCTGTCAAGTTGATTCTGACTCATGGGGACCCCGTGTGTTACAGAAGAGAACTGTGCCCTTAGGGTTTTCGTGGCTGTAATCTGTGTTGAGTCCTGGTGTGTTGCTGTAAGATAAGCACTGGATTGGAAGGTCGGTTTGAACCACAGGTCCAGTGGTTCAGACTCACCAGCCACTCCTCAGAAACCCTATACAGTGTCTCTATGAGTCAGAAAGGACTCAATGGCACTTTACAACAACAACAGAAATCTTTATGGAGAGGCATCCTGGTGGCACAGTGGTTAAGCACTCGACTGCTGACAGAACTGTCTGAAAGGTTGATGATTTTAACTCACCAACTGCTCTGTGGGAGAAAGATGTGGCAGTCTGCTTCTGTAAAGATTACAGGCTTGTAAACCTTGTTGGGCCCTTCTACTCTTCCCTGCACAGGGTCACTATGAGTCATAAGTGACTTGATGACAATTTTTTTTTGTTTTATGTTTTCAAATAGCCCATCTTCTATAATGGAGCCATGGTGACACGTGGTTAAGTGCTTAGCTGTTAACCAAAATATCAGTGGTTCAAACCCACCAACTGTGGGGAAAAGATGAAGCAGCGTTCTTCCAAAAAGATCACAGTCCTGGAAACCTTACAGGACAGTTCCTATCCTTCCTACCTGGTCACTATGAGTCAGAATCAACTTGATGGCAAAGGGTTTGGGGAATCTTTGTAGAAGTAGATCACCAGGTCTTTCTTCCACGGCACCTCTGGGTGGATTTGCATTGCCAACCCAGAGACCTTTATGATGAAAAAGGTGAAGGGGAAAGTATCTCAGTGGTCTATGCCTTTGAAGTGACCCTGACAAAATGCTTGTGGGAGGGAGATGAAGCTAAAAAGTAAAATAAGGACACCATTTTTCTTTAAATACAAAACCAAACCAAATCCACTGATATCTTGTCAATTCCAGTTCATAACAATGCAAAAGGCAGAGTAGAACTGCTACTTAGGATCTCCAAGACTATAAATCTTTATGGGAGCAGACTGCATCTTCTTTCTCCCCCATGGAACAGTTGGGGGTGTTGAACCATCTGATGGGTTAAGAAGTTAGGTCAGGAAAGATTAACATTGTATGCATGATCATAAAGTTTTCCTGGGTTTATAGATGGGTTTCCATTGGAGTTGTTGGTTTCTTTCTTCCTTCCCTTCTTCTGCCTACTCTCCCCCACTTCTCACTCATTCTTTCTTACTTTCTCTCTCAGATGTTTCGTCCTCTTGACCTCTTATTTTTATGCATTAGTCTATTTGGTAGTATTAGTTTGGGGATACTTATCACCCTCAAGAATACTGTTTTGGCTTCTCCCCAGGAATTCTTGCCAATAAAATAGGTGTTAGAGACCTATGACAGGCCCAGTGGTGTGCTGGGCTCACTTGCACCAGCTTACTAGGGCTGATCCCGTGCATCTCTTCCCAATTCCCTATTTAGGTTGTCAGGTTGGTCATTTGAAATCGGCCATGGGTGTTTGCACCATGGAAATTGGCACAGAAGAAATCCGTGTTTTCCCTCCTGGAGGGATGGTTGTTAAGTATCTATTAGCACAACACTGAATTGGCCTTTATTTCATCAGGTTTCAACCTTGTGATATGCAGCAGTGACTAGTATGCAATTAGACAAAGCAGACTTTCTTAGTTTTCATGACAGTGATGACAACTCATTTGATGGTTTTGATGCTACGGGTCACCGACATTCCCTACACAAGTCTGCAGATGTGTACTTCCCTCTGCTGTCTCTGGAGTATCCCCAGGTTTCGCACATGGGAAACAGGCACCTCCCTAGAGCAAAAAGAGAAAAAGCTGTCTGGGTAGACTGTACCTGTAGGTTAATGGGCTACTTTTCATTTTTGTAGTCGACACAAGAAGTCTTCAAGTCAGCTCATAGGTCACCTCCCCCAGGCAGCCTTTCTGAATCCTTCATGGTTAAGAACCATTTCTCTGATTCCCATCATCCTCTGTGCCTAAGCCTCTCTGGCTCTTATTGTTTTCTGACACTGTTATTTACCTACTTTCCTCCCTCCATTGTGAGTTTCTTGGTCTGGGGATACCCCAATCAGTGCTTCCTGAATCAGACTGAAGACTGAAGATGGAACCTTTTGGTTCTGCCCAAGGATAGGGCTGTATTTCTCAAAATTGAGGCTGTATGAAAATCACTTGGAGAATTTTTCAAAATACAGATGCTCCAATGGGAGGATACATAATAAATCAATGGAACAGAATTGAAAACCCAGAAGTAAATCCATCCACATAAAGTCAATTGATCTTTGACTAATGGCCCAAATACATTAAATGGGAAAGAGATAGTCTCTTCAACAAATGGTGCTGGCAAAACTAGGAATTGATTTTCAAAAGAATAAAACAGGACCCATATCTCACACCATATACAAAAACTAACTCAACATGGATTAAAATTCTAAATGTAAATCCCAGAACTATAAAGATCATCAATGAAAAAACAGGGACAAACTTAAGGGCTCTAACACATGTCATAGATACACTATCAAACATGGTAAAAACCACACAAACAATAGAAGACAAACTAGATGACTGGGACATACTAAAAATTAAAATTTATGTGCATCACAAGATTTCACCAAAAGAATCAAAAGGGAACCCACAGATTGGGAAATTTGTTTTTACAATGGCATATCAGACAAGGGACTAATCTCTCAAATTTATAGGAACCACAATACGTCTAAGGAGCTCTGGTAATGTACTAGTTACGAGTCAGACTACTAATCTCAAGGTCAGTACTTCGAAACTACCAGCCACTTTGTAGGAGAATGATGAGGCTTTCTGCTCCCATAATGATTTACAGCCTCAGAAACCCTATTCAGGGTCACTATGAACGAAACCAACTCCCCGGCATACCACCATTACCACAACCACAACACCGCTACAAGAAAAAGATAAATAACCCAATTTAAAAATGGGCACAGACGTGAACAGACACTTCAAGGAAGACATTAAGGCAGCCAAAAGAACATATGAAGAAATGTTCATGATCAT